GGGGGGGATGACTTGGTTTTACTGAAAGCATTTAGTCAGATGACATGAAATGACTGAACATATGTTGATAGGGTGCGCAAAGCTTAAAATTGATCTGAAATATGTTCCAAAGTTATACATTTAAAAAAAAAAAGCCATCTCATTGTGACAAATTCAAATGAATACTACTATATTTTTAACTTTAAGCCTGCTGGTAACTTTTGTTGGACACTATGTAAAATACAGAATTGTAATTTTCATAGTGGTTGTATTTGTTGTTTACTCTCTTTATCCATGTAATTGGATATTGGTGAAGGACTAAGAGTAGCAAAGGTAGCTTTGTGCATTTATTTGAACTTTGAACATGCAGATTTAAGACAACAACAGAGTGATGGCAGATGCTGCACTGCAGTCTTATTGTACTCCCATGATCAGTTTGGACTAGAGGGAGCAATGTGACGTTCATAGGAACACAAATTAACCTTTGACTGGAAAGGTGTAGTGGCTGAAGCTTTAGACTGGGTGAGTTCTGGATATTGTTCAAGATAAAAGCTGTGAGGTAATTAACAGAGACACGTTTCATAGTAATGTTGCCTGTAGATCTGCTAATGCTGCCTGTACTGATCTCCTCTTGGTAGAAGAGTACTTTTGAATTAGTCAAGAAATGCTACTGAAGCAGTGAAGTGATCTCATTCAGCGGTTTCTAAGTGCAGTCCTGTATATCGAGTCTTACACTTTGAATTGACATGCTGCTGTTTCCTGTCACATTTGGACACTGCATGTATTTTAGGACTTGAGCACAGTTTTGTTTTGGGGGGATTTTGGGAGCATATTTAACAACAAAAAACTGGGCTGATTCCTGCATTGCTGCAACTTTCTCACATACACAAATTCTTCTTCACGTGTGGAGCACAATTTTATTTTTTATTTTTTTCTTTGTCGTGTTGAAGCTCGTAGTCTTGGTCCTCAAGTCATCACGGTGAATGCCCTACACCCCGTCACAATGTTCTTAGTATTGAATGAATTTCCTCCTGTGATAGCTGTTTCCACTGCGAGCAAGGCAATCCCACTGGAGAACCCCCCAGAAACCTCTGCTCAAGCTAAAGAGAGCGCTTCTGCAGAAGAAGCTCGTAGTCAGGCTACCTGTGACCAAGCAAATGGTGTAGCTGCAAACCAAGAAGTGACCAGGGAAATGGAAGCAAGTGGGTTGAACCCAATACCTTTGTCTCAGCAAGGGCTCACTGCTGAAGTAGCAGGAGCTTCAGCTGGTTTGGCACCTCTCAATGAGTCTTTGCAATCTGCTGAGGCTGTGAGTGTTTCTTCAGAGCTGCATATTTGTGAAGGAGCAGTTATTGCTGGAGAGGAAAATCAGTTCTTCATTTCAGCCGAAGAATTGACCACCCAAGAGGTTATGCTGACTTCTGAAGAACAGTCAGGAGTACCTGGAGGAAAAACCTCAGCTGATCCAAAGCTTTGTACTTCTGAAGATGGGAAGACCAGCGATGACGCAGAGACTGTGGTAGAAGGTTTAAAGAATATGTGCTTGGATGCAGCTCAAGATGGAGTAGATGCTGGTGACGTGAACGTCACCATGGATACTCAAAATGAAAACGTTGACAAGACGGAGCCTGTAATACTTCTGTCTGAGGTCATTCAGTCAATGGATGCCGCTAAATCTGAAGCCCAACCTGTTTCCACCCGCCACCTTTCAGGTTGGTTTATGTTCTGTGAAACCAGAATCACATTAAATACCTCTTGTTTATTTATGATTTATTTGGTCCCCACCTTTTCAATACATCTTGTTGGCTTGTTTCTATTCAGCATGTGGTCATGATGACATTTAACACTAAGGTGCCAAGTTGCTTGAGGCTGCTGGCTTTTTTAAGGGAGAGTTTAAATTTTATGGAAGTATATCATAATTGACATAAAGTGTAGTTATTCTTTGACTTGTTTTGATGCAGTGTACTGTCCTTTTTTACCATCCTTACATGACTTTTTACACATTTGTTTGCCTAAAGTGTAGTTTTTTAAAAAATTATGGTAAATCGAATGCATAATTATGACCCATTTCAATAAAAACTTGGATGTAATTGAATTGGGTTAGTTTGTTTTGCCTGGTGTTTGCTTTTACTGGATGTACCAGTTCATTGGTGCTGTGTTTGTGTTGCGTGATTTCGTAAAATGTGCGTCTACACTAAATAGTTTTTCAGTGTGGAAGTTAGTGTCTTGTACATTGAGTGGCTGTTTGCATCCAACTCAAGGGAGGTATGCTTTTTTTCCTAACCATAAGCCAGAAGATTGGGTCTTGATTTAACCCGCATGAGAAAGACCTCCAATATCAAAACAAAAGAAAAACTTGAATCTTTTTTTGTTCAGCTACACCTCCTGCCCCAGCTTCCTCCAAGCAACCTGAGGCATCTTCAGGCCCTGCTAAGCCCAAAGGCAAAAATGCCAAGAGTGCACAGGGTGCCTCTGCCCCAAAGGCTGTCCCTGGCAGAAGAAAGCGTTCCTCTATGTCTGTCTCTTCGTCCTCTCCTACCTCGCCAAAATCAACTCCCTCCTCTACTCCATTGTCACCTTTGCCATCTCCCCTTGCTGCCTCACCTGGCAGCTCCTCTGCTAATCAGGGTAACCGTTCAGGCCCAAAAGTTGTCAAGGCTGGCAAACAGGGTAAGGCTAAAAAGGGAGAAGCATTTGTGCCTGCTCCTGTCCCCCAGTGCAAGGCCACTAGAGTTGATGAAAAGCCAACAGAGCCTAGCCTCAAGCATAATGTAGCTGATGATGCTAAACCTGCCCTGAGTGAGACAAAAACCCCATCACCAGGTGCGACAAAGGCTGGTGCAGTGCCACCTGCTTTTAAAGTTACCTCAAAGCCTGCTGTTGCAGCACCAGTATCATTTTCAGATACTATTGCCTCTAGTCCTCCTAAGTCAGCTGATGTTAAAGCAACCTCATTGAAAAATGCTCCACTTATTGCATCTGTTGACGATGAGCTCCCTCCCCTTATCCCACCTGAGAAACCAGTTAAAATGCCAGCTTGTGCATCTCCTGTTGAGAAACAAGGTACAAAGCCTGCTACATCTCCTAAGCCTAATGCTGAGAGCTGCAGTTCTGCTCCTGTAGAGGCTACAAAGACACCAGTTAAACCAAAGGCAGACAAGCCAAAGCCTGTTAAGGTTGCTGAAGCAGCCCCAGTAAAATCAGCTCCCACTGAAGTTGCTATGGTGTCTTCTGAAATATCAGCTGTAGCTGATGATGTTGCTAAACCAGCTCCTGTCAAAGCTCCTAAAGCAGGTTCCAAGACTAAACCAGCAAACCCTGGCAAAGTTGAGGAGGTTGTGGTGGAAACCCCAAGCAAGCCTGCTCCTACCCAGGCTGCTAAGCCAGCTCCTGGGGCCAAAACTGCTTCTGCTGAGGCTGCTGACAAAGCTTCTAATAGAACTAAACCACCTGCCAAGGAAAAACCTGCTCCTGCAGAAACTAAGCCAGTAGCTGAGGCCAAACTTGTGCCTACTGAGACTGCTAAGCAGACAGCTGAGGCCAAACCTGCTCCCATAGAGGCCAGTAAGCCAGCAACTGTTGACAAAGCCCCAAATGTAGCTAAACCACCTGCGAAGGCCAAACCGGCTCCCCCAGAGACTGCGAAGGCAGCGGCCGAGGCCAAACCGGCTCCCTCAGAGACTGCGAAGGCAGCGGCCGAGGCCAAACCGGCTCCCTCAGAGACTGCGAAGGCAGCGGCCGAGGCCAAACCGGCTCCCTCAGAGACTGCGAAGGCAGCGGCCGAGGCCAAACCGGCTCCTTCAGAGACCGTTAAGCCACTGATTGAAGCCAACTCTACAACCACTGAGGCCACTAAGGCAGCCAAATGTGCCTCCAAGAAGACACCTAAGCCAGTGGCTGAGGCCAAATCTGGCCCCAACAAGGTTCCTAAACAAGCTGAAGAGATTAAAACTGCAGCTCCTAAGGCTGCAAAGCCAAACGCAGAGGTCATGTCTGACCCTGCTGATGTTAACATGACAGCTGCAGCACCTAAGCCAGCTGAAGATGTCAAGCCAGCCAAAGTGGTGGATGTTAGTGCAGCATCAGCTGAGGTTGCTAAACCTGTAAAACCAGTTGCAGACCCTTCACCTGCTCCCTTAAAGCCCACTCCAGTTGAGCCTGCTGTTCCTAACCCAGCTCCCCGTAAACTCACGTTTGCTGAGGCAGTTGCAAAACCTGCCCCTGTTAAACCTGAGGTTGAGTTAATTACTTCAACTCCTCCTCAACCTGTCTCGCCACCTAAGCCTGTCCCCACACCTGCTAAAACCCCAGCCAAGATGGAGCCTGTGAACGACAAGAACAATAATGGTATTTCCTCCTTTCTCTCCTCTTGTGCCGTCTGTTTGTTTTGGCGTCCCCCCCCAAAATCTGTTAGCGTTCTGAAAGATGCTTAAATATGCTTTTCTCTTACAAAGGTTAGCTTGCGAAATAAATATTATATCTCCTATAGATGCTAAAATATAAGATGCTATTAGATTTTGGCAAGTGTGCTCCTGGTTTTGGAATGCATTAGTTCTATTGGTTACTGTTTGTTTAAAATGTAGTGCAGGTCAATGCTGGTATTATCATGTGTTGTCTAATCAAGTTTGGAAATGGCTTTTTTGGCTGGAAAGAGATTATGTTCTCAACAAAGTCCTGAGGAAAATTACTATAATGGTAATAAGATGACGGAAAATGTGCTGTTTTGAATCGAAGTACTTTGTTCCACAATACTGGTGCAGCTTACCTTCAGATTAACTTTCAGGTGTACACATGTAACCTAAGTGGCACATTGTGACAGTTTTTCTGGTGGTCTCTACAGGATCCGGCACTGAGTCGGACAGCGACGACTCAGTCCCTGAGCTGGAGGAACAGGACTCTGCACAGACACAGACACAGCAAGCTCAGGTGAGACTTGAGTCTGGTTTATTGTGTTCACTGGTATAGATGTCCGTCATTGACTCTTCACTGATGATTTACACAGTGACTTTCGTTCTTCTGAACCTACTGAAGCCAGCCTTTCTGTCCTGAGAAGAGATGAATATAAAACGTATCTAATCGCTGATTCTGCATTTACTCGTTGGTGTAAAAAACTTAATGTAAATTCTACTTTAGCTTGCAGCAGCTGCCGAAATAGATGAAGAACCTGTCAGCAAAGCCAAACAGAGCCGCAGTGAAAAGAAGGCACGAAAGGTAACAGTCCCAGTTCACTCAGTGCTCTATAAACATTCTGTACGTCTAAAGATTAGATTTGATAAATTTACTTCCATTTCTTTCAGGCAATGTCAAAGCTTGGTCTCAGGCAGGTAACAGGAGTCACTAGGGTCACCATTCGCAAGTCAAAGAACATCTTGTTCGTCATCACCAAACCAGATGTCTACAAGAGCCCTGCATCAGATACATACATCGTCTTCGGGGAAGCTAAGGTAACGCGCCAACAACAATCCCAGTTGTCAGGGTTTGTCAGTAGAGCTGCTGAGTGTGTGTAGTCTTAGCTTTGTGTAATGCAGGCAAATGGACTTCATCACCGCATTCATAAGCTAAATATTTTTGCTAAATGATGTGCTGACCTCTTAACTTCCTCACTGCTTTCCTCAGATTGAAGATCTTTCCCAGCAAGCCCAGCTGGCCGCTGCAGAAAAATTCAAGGTACCGGGAGAAACTGTATCAAACGTCCAGGAAAACACACAGACGCCAACAGTACAGGAGGAAAGCGAAGAAGAAGAGGTGAGATGCAGTTTAGTCAAATGAAGATGGGCATGGCTTTGTGTTGGAGAGATAATTAATGTTTGCATTGATTATTTTCATAGGTTGATGAGACCGGAGTTGAGGTCAAGGACATCGAACTCGTCATGTCACAAGCCAACGTGTCGAGGGCGAAGGCTGTACGCGCCCTGAAAAATAATAACAACGACATCGTCAATGCCATCATGGTGAGATTTTGACTATCTATCAACAATTTAAACACTTTACACTCCAGCGCTCTTAAGTGATGATTTAACACAGTGACTTTCGTTCTTCTGAGTCATATGAAGCCAATATTTCTGTCCTGAGAAGAGAGCAAAGCTTTAAAATTATATCAGCTAATATTTACACATCCACTGACTTTTGCTTTTGCTGCTTTGCAGGAGTTGACAATGTAATGGGGACCCTGTCGACGAAGAGTTGACGAAAGGTTGCTGATTTAATCCAAACTCATTTATACAATTTATACCCAAGATGGAAATAAAGTTGTGGCTTGATGAAATTAAATTTTGTTTCGTTTGTGGTTCTTTAGTGGGGAAAATGGAGCTCTGCTGTATGAGCAAGTGTAATTATTAGTCTGGTTAAGGCCGGGATAGTCACAGTCCTAATCTGGGAAATGTATATATGTAGTGTGGGTTCATTCAGATTTTTATTTTTTCCTCTCCTGTCTTCTTACGAAGGCCCAGCATACAGACTGCAGGTTAGGTTTGAAGCTGTTACAGTGCTAACAGCACAGAGGTATAATGGAGACACTAGTTTTATTTTTCATTTTGTTTTGCAGTAAAAATCTGAAAACTTGACTGTAGAAGAATGTTGGTGTTTTATTTAGTGGGGGATGTGGATTCCAGCTCTAAGAAAACTGTAGATCTCTCCATGTTTTGTGGACTTTGTGTAAGACTGAAGGTATCACATTGTTCTAGGAAAAAATAAAATTGATAAATCTGAAATGACTTGATGCATAACTTCTCATTTGTTTAGGAAATTGCACAAAATGACAGTGAGTACTTTTGTCAGACCTTAAAGGATTTAAGGATTTATTTATTTATTTTTTCAGGAACTGCTGACGGCTTCATTTGAGACAACTATAATCAAATTTGTATCTGCTTGTTTTTACTTTGTATAGTGTTTTAATGTGACATTTATAAGGTAGAACTGTTAAGCTAATATAGAGTACCAATATGTTGGGCGCCTCCTGGGTGTGTCCTGCTGGGAGACCAATGGGTAGACCCAGGACACGGACGGATTTTTTTATCTCTTGGCTGCCCTGTGAACACCCCAACGTTCCCCTTGATAACCCAGAGGAGCTGGCTGAACAGACGGAGCTCTGCGTTTCTCTGTTTAGGCTGATGCCCCCGCAACCCGACCCTGGAAAAGCACAAGAAAATTCAGTACAGCTAAAAGTAGTTGTTGATTGCAGAAAAAATGCCGCAAAATTATACTTAAAGCATAGCTGAATTAGCTTGCAAATGACTAAGTCACTGGCAGACTGAGCAGTGATTAATATGGTTGGTATACATTCACCAGTGACTGTTAGGTACACCTGTTCAACACTATTTCATCACGCCAAGTGCATGGCAGATAAGTTAAGTTTCAGTTCAAATTTTATTCGCCACATGCAGTGGCAGGTTGCCCTGCAGTGGAATGAACCCGCCCCCCGACCTTACACACACACAACAGACCTCACATGGGGATACAAGTCAGAGAACGGTTGCATTACAGAAAAACCATTGAAATGTACACTACAATGGGAAAAGTACAAGAGGGAAAAAAAAGAGACCTCTACTCATGCTAGGCTACAGGAGGACGGCATGAGACAAGAAACAAAAAAAAAAACTCCTGCACAGAAAGCACAGAAATGTCCACAGTACAACATTATAGAGCACGTGACCAGCAACAGGGTTGGATAGGGGATAAGGAGTAATCCCAGGCAACACAGCAGCCATCCTGCCACTGCGCCAACTCTCCAGCGCGGGCTCAGACCCGCCTCGTGTTCCCAGGAGGCAACAAACATCGAAGGCATTGGAAGGGGAGGGGGGATGTGTGAGTGCTTATCAGTGTAAGTGTGTGCGTGTCCATAGTTCAGCTGAAACAGTGTCCTTCACCCTATCAGGCTAAGTATAATATAACAGGATAACAGGCCATTTCTTAAACTGTTTTTGTTTTTTTTGTTTTTTTTAACATAACAGTACATTCACCACACTAATGGCCTCCACAATCACCAGATAACAACCCAGTACAGCACCTCAAGGATGTGGTGGAACAAGAGATTCATATCAAGTTACCTAACTGGTGATCTTGCACTGACAACATTTTTAACTATTTAAAGACTAAAATTTAAATACACAAAATCATTAGTTCTAGGAGCCATGTATAAGTTACATCAACGTAAAAAGATATGTAATAAAAAATCGAAGACAATTCTAATATTGTATTATTTTTAAAATCAAGCTTTCTTAAACACTAAATATGTTTTTATTATAGTTTGTTAGAAACAAACCTACATTTAGGGTATGTAATGAAAGTAAACTAGGTTTGAAAGATTAATCCCATACAAGGTTAAATACAGAAATTATAACCTGATAAAGTTCCAAAGGCTTTTTTAACTGAGAGCATGATTTGAGAGGAAAGTGCATGTTTGAAAAGCAAGTTGAAAACATCCCATTCATGATCATAGCACATGTTTGCATGTTCCCTATCTTCCCCTAGATGAGTAGACCAATCTTGATACAGCTTTGCACAAAGACTGAGTAAGACACTGTGATTGCTCTCATATATATGGCTTATACAAAAATTCTAAACAAATCCCACAATGGTACTGTACCATCCTGGCACTGTTAATTACCAACTGTGGAGCCAAGGTCATGCTGGCGATGGGCAAAAGGTGGATATGACTCCAGGGAGGCTATGCTTTCAGCCACACAGCCACATCCAGATTTCCACCCAGCTGAGCACCTATGGGAGATTTCAGAGTGAGGTGTTAGCTTTTCACGGCCATCATCAAAACACCTTTTGAGTTAATGGTGCTCCATGGTGCTTGGTTTTTTCCCATTACTTAAACTATTTGTACCTCGCAGGATAACTACAGACTTAACTGCTTTTCCAGCAGCACAGTCCCAGTGCTTGTGCTACTGTTGAACAATTATTACATGTGAAGTAGAACGCATTTGGACATATTTGAGAACCGATTATTACAGGGTATTATGAGCAGAAACCGGAGAATTCGTGAGTAGCCAATCATTGGTGAATTTCTTGTGGTAGCCCTTCCCATGATCGGTGACGTCAGTGGTTCCACTTTTTCAATAAAACACGTTTATTTTACCTGCTTTCTTTTCCCAGCTGTGATTTATATGCAAGACTTTATAAACAGAATGTTGGAATGTAATGTATTTGATATAATGTGGCAACCAGTATCCAGTTTTCTAGACTGTGTTATCAACTTCTGATCATTCTTTGAAAAGGTCGATGGCTTCAAACCCTGCTTTACTCGTTTGACTGCCGTACTCGGTGTTCACCGTTTAAAAAAAACAAAAACTCATTATGTATTATTTATCTTTTAGTCTTTTTTAAGTAAAATAATACAAACTTCTTAACAAAATTGTGTGTTGCTGTTCTTTTGCAGTTTTGGGGGCTTTTTTGTGGAAATACTTAGAACTGGTTGTGGGTTTGACACTGCCACCGGGTTGGTAAAAAAAAAAAGACAAAAAAAAAGGAAAACTTCATACTAAACCTACGCATGTCCTTTTACATGTTTTAATTCTATATTTTATATTGTATTTATTTTCTGTCTGTTTTATTTTCACCTGAGCACATATTAACACAGATTATATGTGCTCAAGTGTTTTATATTATGAGTAAAATTGTCGGGATATTAGGTCCGTAGGTGTTTAGACAGTTTTTCTTTTTAAATATTTATTCATTTAAACCACTTAAATTAAACCTGAAAGTGAGCTACATCTTGCTTGATTTAAAAACTGTGGTGGCAAAATAAAAATAAATCATTAAAAACAAAACAAAAAAACCGTCAGAGTAAAATACTTATGGATCTATCTGTATTTATATTTTTGCATTTGAGTTGCTAGTTGCAGTTACATACTACAAGGATCCTGCAGCTTCATAAGCCTTGATAAACCGTTTGAGGTGTTTGGACCGCAGTCAGGTTGTAGTGACTTGCCATAGTAGTCGCCCTCTCTCACGTCACTCGCAGCTGTGGCTGAAAGCTCTAGAAACGTCTAGTGCGCTCGGAGTGCGTCAGCACTGCTATTCCGTTCCTGGGATACGCAATAAGATCCGGAGTAGAGTCCAGGGGCAAGAGGCGTTTGCTTTGGCCGTGTGTTGGGCGGCATTCCTTCTTGTTTTACAGGCGCCACCGATCTTTTTCACGAGGCTGTTTTATCTGTGATAAAGAAATTCACTTCACACCAAGACATGTAAGTTGTGGGGAGCGTACGTAAAGGCGCAGTGGAGGGAAAGTACGATAGTACAGGCTGAATGATTAGCTAGCTTTAGCAGCTTGAAACATGCTGTTGGAAAGGCGGGAGGGTGGCATGGCGTCAATGAAGTAGGGACTCAGCGTGACTCGCTGCCTTACAAACCGGGTAAAACCTCACAGTGTATCGGCAAGGCTAATATAGCAGACCGCTTTATCCTTAATTGGCGAAAGAGTCGGTTTATTTTAGCTGTAGCATGGGTCAGGTGTACCGCATGGCACGACTAGCGTAGCGGCACCGCTGTTAGCTTGGCTACAGGAGGCTTCATTAAGACTTCTGGAAGGCTAAGATCAGATTAGCATCGGATCTGCGGCAAGATTTCAGATTTGTAAAGAAAATCAGACTCAATCAGTGGTTTTGTTTGGGCTGTAACGATGTTTAAAGCTAGCTACCCCACACTGCATTGAGGATTTGTAAGAGGATTTATCTAATGAGACAGTCACCACAATGCTAAGAGAGCAGTAAACATACCTGTAGCTTCCATGCAAAGACCATTTAATTAATGGATGCAGGTCAGCCAGGCTCATGCATGTGTTCTGTAAAATTACTTGAGGTGGAAGTGTGTGGTAATGAAGCCAAATATACCCATCATTTAATTTGTATCCATTGGTGTTTTTAAAAAAAAAAAGAAAAGCACATGGCTTTTCTGTTCATCCCTCATGTTCAAAGTTAGAGATGAGCTTTTCAGAACTTGTCATGCTACTAGACCACATTAAGTAAAATTAGCAATACTGGCTCACATTATACCCTAAAGACTTAAAAGTTAAAAGGAAAATTTGAGAAGGGGGCCCCTCCATCCACAACAGCTTGTAAATGTGTCTTGTCACAGTTTAGTATCCACAGATGTCTCACTTTTGATACTGGAGCAGTGTGTGTAACTCGATGCTCTTTACAGCAACCTCACACAAAGGAGGTTTGATAACAGGCTGTCTTGTCTCTTCACCAGCACTCGGATTATTTATTGGGGTTTTTTGTTTTTTTTCATTGAAGTTGTTTTTGAAGGCTTGAAAAGCTGAACTT